CTTACTCGGAAAATAAGTTAATTTTTTTGAAACTTTGAGGCTTCATATCTTCATCATCCGGACTCCAAATTAAGTGATTTTTGAGTCTAAGTTTATTAGTTTTTGCTGGTCTATATAACGGTATGCACAGTTGTATCAAATTATATCTAAAAAGACCATTTTACCCCTTGTAAAGTACCTTTGCCGCATTGATTTCAAACCCAAAAGTTTAATTTTATGAAACTTTGGAGTTTCATATCTTCTTCATCCGGACTCCGAATCAAGTGATTCTTGAGTCCATCTTGATTAGTTTTTCGTTGTTCTTCCAGCGGTATGCTCGGTGGCACCCGAGTCCACAGTTTTTAGAAATAACTATTTTGCCCCTGGGGGCTTATTTGTTATATTTTTGGTCTTTTGCTTCCGCATCAGTTCTCATTGAGTTCCACGACCTCATGAAAGGTCACTTTGACTTCTTAGAGTCTTGATTTCTGTTTTTGCTTCCGCATTTTGGATTCGTTATCGGATCAAACTACGGTTTATCATATGACGCACTGGCTTGAAAAACCAGGGCCGTCACACTTATGTTAGAAATGATATAAGGTAGCTTAGGATACTTCCTGAGTCTCACTTATGACATAGACGTTAAGTGGCATGATCCTTTTGAATTGTTTCACCTTAATGTGATAATCTTGTAAAATGTTAAGTCCTTGCATGCTCATCTCTAACAAGTAGCTTTATGTTACTCACCCCAAAGTTATCAGGGATATTTTTCTGGTACAGGAATCAAGATTGAGATTCTCGTTATGCTTGGATGAATTGTGGACTTGAAGGTTTCCATTCTTGTAAAAGTTGACTTGAAACACCATTTGTAGCCTTATATGTCAAAATGTGTATATTTGATTTTAAACATGTAATGTGTGCCTAAACACACCTTTTAACATTTATTTTATGTATATGTATAACATGAGACCAAGAGCCATTAGTTTTAAAAGTTCACAAGTATGTTTTAAACTTGTTTTGGATCATTGGGAATGCATGTAAAGCTTCAAGGTTACCTTAAATTTGCTTCCTATTTCATCATTCGGTTGTTTTCTTGCCTTTTGTTTTGTCGTTCGACTGATTTTCACCTTCTATTTTATCATTTTGCCTATAAAAGCTTCTGTTTCGTCGTTCGGCTGGTTGTTTCCTTCTGTTTCGTCATTCGGTAGTCAGAACGCCTGACCACGTAGGTCAGAACGCCTGACCATGCAAGTCTGAACGCTCGATCCTTTCATCACAGTGTCTGACCATATAAGTCAGAACGCCTGACCCTTCCGTCAGAACGCTTGACCATAGGTCAGAACGCCTGACCATGTAGGTCAGAACGACTAACCTTATTTGAGTGCTGAACAGGTGTTCAGCCTTGATGAGTGCCGAACAGGTGCTCCGCCTTGAAGAGTGCCAAACGAGCACTCAGTGTTGAAGAGTGCCGAACGACCGCTCGGCACTGATGAGTGTTGAACGAGCACTCGGTGCATTGGCATTAGACAAGCGCTCGTCCATGCCTCAGGACCTTTCTTTCTTTTACTTGATCATTTTTCACTTCCGCATTTCAGATCCTTTATTGGGTCAACTTTTGGTTCAGCACTGACGCTCTAGGTTACAAAACTTGGGCTGTCACAAGTGGTATCAGAGCTCTTAGGTTTGAATACCTTGGACGACGGGTTTTGGGCGCATATCATGCTTGTGTTGCCATACTTTATGTGTTTATATGCTTTATGATAATATGTTTTGGTCTGATAATATGTTTATGTGCTTATATGCTATATGTGGCATGACGTTTGTTTAGCATGATTTTATTCTAATATAAAGAACATGACATATGATGCATACTAGATTAGATTTGTATATGCATAACTGTGTTGTATATTTGGCATGACATGGGATTAGTCATTAAGGCACGAGTTGAGAGTGATGGTGATTGTAGTCACAGTTTCGTGGTAGTTTTGGTAATTATCGACCTAGCATTGGTTTTGAGCTAGGTGGAGATGCACCTTTTGTTTAGGCTCTTGTGAAGTGAGTCATTAGGCATTGCCATAGTGCTGGATTTGTTGGTTTTGGGCCATGATGAGGTTATGGACCTCTTAGGATCCTTGGTTGTTCAAGATGATTCTTCTGGGATTACGATTTTTTTGGGCGGGTACGTTTGTGGGTGGGTGCATGGCACTATCATGCTATCGTACTGGCTAGCTACAAGTGCAGTTCGGATGGAATCAATGTTGGTTTTGTTTTGATAGGCATTGTCCTTTTGATCGATGACAATGATGGTTGTTTTGAGATTCAGTTGTAGTGATTGATTTGGTTGTTGTCGGTATAGCTATGGTTGCCATTTTCTTTGAGTTCTCCTTGCGTGATAACGCTTTTGGTATCAAGTCGATTAATTGATGTTAAGAAGAGAAACAAACTCTACAGGAAGGAACTTGCACTTATTTTTTTTCTACTCATTGCATCTGTAAGAAGCCTTTTATCAGCATACGGAGTTCATTTCTATTTCTTGCTATTCCGAGGGCTGTCTTTCATTGTCATTGACTTGGACTTGATTGGTGAACAGATCAGCTGAAACAGAACATGTAAAATATCCGAATTCAAGCATTAGCTTTTAGCAACTTGTACTGCAATTAAAGAAATGACTCCCGATCTTTATAGCATTATAAATTTGGGTTTGAAACAAGATTTCATCATAGATTAGAATGGATTCAATTGTTAGCTCTAGAAGAACTTTAGGAACTCCCAAGGTATAGACGTTAGGAGGCATATTCCATACTTGTGTTGCATGAGTTATATTTGCGGGACCCAAGAAAGCTAGTGTACTTTTATAATGCATTTTCCTACGGAGTAATGTAAATTACTCATCCTAGTTGATTTAAATGCTTTTCGGGTAAAGAGCTGCATTCTTGGATGCATATTTGCTTTAGCTTGGATTACTATATGTTGTTTTTGGATATCTTTTAGACAATGTATATATGCAAAGTGTTTAGCATGTTTTGTGTATTTCTTTTGAGAACTTGGAAATTTAATGTATTTTTTAGAGGGAAAATGACTTGAGAACTCATTCTCATCTTTCAGAGTTCTTGAGTAATTTTATCTTCTTTATGCTTCCTTTGATGATATTTCAAATGATGTAAAGAGGCCTTAAGCTACCTTATGCAATGAATGTATTTTTGAACTTTAATGCACACTTATGTATGCTTCACACATTTGAAATCTTGAATTTCGCCTAATGCGATGCACCAACTTAAGGATAGCTTATATCCCATATTTAGGCCTATTTGAGTGTTTTAAATGATCCATAGATGACCAAAGCCATTTCTGTAAATTTTTGAACCATTCTATTGACAGCAACAGAGTTCTGATCGACGTTTAACACTTACACATCGACCGGTATCTCCCTTTTTACTATAGCATAGTGAGCTATTTGGGACGCAACAGTTTTCAGTCGACTCAAAGTGGCTTCACGTCGACTGAGTTGGCCGACATGGTCGACATGTGAGCCTTCCACGTCGACCGATGGCAGACACTTTCCCCTTTTTCTGTTCTTCCCTTGTTGCCCATTTTTTGCCACTCTTTCTTGCCCTAAGGTAGTTGGTAATGCATTATATGGATGTATTTATGTTTAGGTGACTTAGTATGACGATCTACTTTGGACAATGTCATTTTACCCTTAACCTCAGTATTTTTGCCATTTTGACCTTAGCTTCCGCACTTTGAATCGTTATTAAATTGGCAATTTAGACCATTTTAGTAATGAACCGAATTATGAGTTTTAGGGTCATCACAATATTTATTTGTTGCGAAACCAAACTTCATAGTAAATACAACGGAATTTACTATAAAACTTTTCGTGATAAATACTAGGTAATTTATTACGAATTCAAATTTATAGTAAATCCAAGATAATTTATGAGGAAGCCAAAATTCCAAACCTAATAAAAGAGAATTTAATATGAAATTATTTCCGTAGTAAATATCCTATTATTTACTAAGAGCATCTCCAACCGTTGTGTATATAATTTTGTGTAAATCTGATGTGTCAGAGTAAATTTACACAAAAATTTTGTACAACCTATTTTTAGTTCTAACGGTTATTTTATACCTTTTGTGTAAAAAAAATATCCCCCACTAACAACCAATTAAACTACGTGTCATACCCAACGCCCTATATAACTTTTACAAACTTACTTGATTCATTTACTTTTTCGCGATTAAATCTCACGTCCCAATCCTCCATCAATTAGGAAAAAACTAATAATTTCCCCCTATATTTTACTTTCTACAGAAACAAAAAATATGCAAAAACAATTGCGATTGAATTGACTAATCAACAAAAAAGAAAAAGAAAAAATTTAATTTGTATAACTGTATCAAACAACAATTATATAAAATCATGATTAAAATATATATCAAATCTTTTGTTAGGATATATTTATCTTATTAGAATAGAATGTAAAAAGATAAAAAATCTAAAAAAAAACCCCTATAATCTATGGCGATGATTACAAAAGATAAGATGAAACGAAAGTAATTAATCAAACTACTTTTATTAACAAAGAAAAATGAAAAATAAAAGATGGTTTCTTACCTTGCCACGGGTTGAAGATTCTTATCTATGATGCTCTAAAAGTGGGAAACAAAGAGGCGTAAAGGAATGAGAGAGAAGAAAGAGAACCGCGATTAGAAAAGGGGGAGGAGAGAGAAAATATATTTACGTGACTGTGTAAAAAAACTGTGTAAAATACACAACCTTTTTACACATTGGCGATGTGATAGTGTATCTTAACAGATTGTTGGAAATAAAAAAAACTTATAAATCACATGTAGTAATGTATATTTTATACAAAATATTTTTTAACGGACCGCCGAAAATGTCTTAAGAATTTATTTTCATAGTAAAAATATTCCGTCACCTCTTTCCTGGCAATGGATTACGATGACTAAAAGCCTTTTTCCTGGCGGTGGATTACGATCTATATTGGAAAGTGTAGTGCTTTAATAAGTCAACCACATTTATTTTTACAACTTAATCAGCACCTTATAACAAAGTTCCACACCTAACAAGCAATGAAAAACAAACATAAACATGTCCACAATTCAAACACTGCAACTACCCTTAAAGCTCCAATCGACCTATATTCGTCGTCATCTTCTCCGAATTCCTTACCGAAGCTCTGACTTAGATTCCTCATCATCTTCCACCATATACGTGAGATATGAATGATTATCGGAATTCCTGACGGAGCAATTTGCACGAACTTCTCCTTTTCTGCCAGTCAACACACTCAGCTGCCCCATCTTTATCATGGAAAGCGCAAACTGGTCGAAGAAAAGAGTCTGATCATCAGCGAAGCTGGTGACAATGTCGCGAGTCCTACTGTCCATGTACAAGTCTTGGTCGGACGTGAAGAGGCCTTGCCGGTTCACGAGTCCAATGTAGTACTTGTTGTCGAATTTGTTTGGAGTTCGGATGTCCATCACAGTGGTGGCGGTGGTATTCGCAGTGGGACAAATGCCTTTGAGGTCCTCAGCTAAGGAGTCGTCCATGGTTGGGTCTTGGTTCGGGTAGAGTCTATCAGTGAAAGAGGTGCAGTGGCTGCGTCCGATGGTGTGGCCACCGGAGAGGGCTACGACATCTGTAGCGTCCAATTTCTTGGTAGCAAGAAAGGTGAGGAGGGCACTGGTGTTGCTGCTTGGTGGGGGGATATTGGCTAGTGTGGCATTTCTTGTTGCGAAGTTGAGGCTGTCCCGCCTTCCCAAGGGAACATCATAATAAGGGCCCTGGGACTGCAACCACGTACAATAAAATGTTATGTACTTCTTTAGATGGAGGTTTAGCAAGAATTAAATTAAACGTCCGTTTTCTTCTGTTGCACTCAATTATCGTTTCTCTTTAAAGAAAATAAAAAAAAGGTTCCTGAACTAATTAATACATCATCTCTAATTTTTTTTTGCAGTCAAAAGAAATAATTTATTTAATAGTGATATATATATTTTTTTTGGGTCCAATCAAAACATATAATTTATAATATCATAACTACCTTTTTTTTTACTTCCATTACTATGCGTTTTTTTATTTTTATTTATTTTATTTTTTATTATGGTTCCCTAAAAGAAGATAATTTATTCAATAGAAATAATTTTATATAATTTATTCAATAAAAATAATTTTATTTTTTTTAGCTGTCAAATGAGATAATTTATTCAATAGTGACATTTTTTTTTTTCCAATCAAAACATATAATTTATTCAACAAAGTTGACTTTTTTTCAGAATTTTTTTTTCCGTCATGTCAAAAGTGGTGATATTTTTTTTGGTAAGTTTTTATTTCTCCTATCAAAAGAAATAATTTATTCAATAGAAATAATATTTTTCTTTTTGATTTACCAAAAGAGATAATTTATTCAACACAGATAAATTTTTTGTACTTTTTTTTTTTAATCTTGACAAAACAGATAATTTCTTTAAAAAAGATATTTTTGGATTTTTTTTTCTGTTAAAAGGGATAATTTTTTTTGATGTGTAATTTATTTATTTTTTGGTCCTGTATAAATTTTTTTTTTTTTTTTTTCTTGTCAAAAGAGATCTAAAATAATAATGATTAGCCACAAAGAAAGTAAATCTAAAAGAACAATTGTAAAATTAAGGTTAAAATTGTCATTTACTTTAAGAATAAAGTGCAAATATAAAAAATTATAATGCTAATATAATATTCCAAAAAAAAAATAATAATAATAAAAATAAATAAATTTAGCTAGCTTTACCAAGTAAACAGCATCACGGGCAGCAAGGGCAGTGATATCAGCGCATGAGACTACTCTTCCGCACTCTTTCTGCACAAGCTCACGGAGGTCCTCGATGACCTTAAACGCTCCAGCCCTCAAACTCAAGTTCGGAGGCGCCTCTTTCTCACTAGGCCCACTAGCGGACCCATCAAGCAAAACAGAACCATCGCATCCCTGCATATAATATTCACGACAATTCATGTTTAGATCAAGTCAAAACACTTCTGATAAACCCTTTACAATAAATACATAGTCCACATCACATGACAGAACCCTAAAACTTTTTGATAAATGGTTTTTAATAATTCTGTTGTCTATGACTTTTTATCAAAGACTGAAGTTTCTTAAACAATTTGATGGTTAATCCATTAAATAACATAGTATTCTTTTTTCTTTTCTTTTTTTCTCATTAACATGGTATACAAACAAGTCATGTTTATATCAAGTCAAAACACTTCTGATAAACCTTTTACAATAAATACATATTCCACATCACGTGAGAGATACCTAATACCTTTTGACAAATGGTTTTTAATAATTCTTCTGTCTGTCACTTTTTATCAAAGATTGAAGTTTCCTAAATAATTCGATGGTTAGGCCATTAAATAACATATTCTTTTCTTTTTTCTCATTAACACGGTATACTATTCTAAATTTGTACTACTTGGTCGGTTGCACGGATGCAGCACCTACAACCACTCCTTTTGGGACCACTGTCCGAATGAAATGGCAGAAAACACGTGGTGCAATAATTAGCGTTCTGAAACAATTTGTACTAAAAATGAAATGACCCGGGTTTTCAATTGCTGAAAATCTCGTGAATCTCTTTCAATTTTTTTAAATGTTTCTCTCTCCACAACTCCACAACCACAAACCCCTTTACGAGTTATTTTTTTAATATATATATATACACACACATATCTCTATTGCCTTTTACATTTAAAGTCCAAAATAAAATACTCCGCATATAGGAATAATAATCAAATGGGCGGTTAAGAAAACTATGATTTCTCTCTGTACACCTCCTCTGAAAGTAAACCTCTGTGTGTGTGTGTGTGTGTGTGTCTATGTATATATTATTAAGATATATAAACATGGGTACGATGTAATTGTGTATTCATATGAAAGTGGATATATAGATATCTTTAATTTAAGATAATTATCAAAAGAGGAAAAAACCACCCCACGAACACTTAGAGGTGGGAAAAACCAACAAATATATATATATATATACACATATATATATATATGTACAAAACTTATGTATGTTTATATTTAAAAATTTTTTTTTGGATGGTCCGATAAGTTAATTTAGGAAAAAATATGGGTATTTTGGTTTTTAAACGATTTTTTTAGGAATAAAGTGAATGTTGACAAAGTCAAAAGATTACAATGACTTTTTATACGTAAAAATAGCCTTACACAAATGAAAAAAAATTTAGACAATGAGTGAAAAACGATTAAAAGTTTGTAACGTGAATGAAAATTATTTTTTAAAAATATTTTAATATGATATTTGACCAAATTTAAAGAATTATCAGTGTAACTAATTTAAAGACCGATGTAAAATAATCCCCCACACAAATTAAGAAAAGTTCGAACTATGTCCGCTTGCTCGCACCTAATAAAAATTAAACCAGAGATCTGAAACTTTATGAGACTATAGAGCTAAAGCGTTTTCCACTAGGCCAACAACCCCTTGGGGTATGTAGTTACAAGTAAAAGATTGTGTAATAGGTACAAATATTTCAAAAAGGGAAAACTGCAAACAATTGATCGAGAAGTACCTGAACAAAGCAGTCATGGAAGTGGAGGCGAAGCAAACCAGCAGCTAATCCAACATCCTCCTTGAAGACCTTCCTGAGGTGTTTTCTCACAATGGTTTCCACTTTAGGACAGCTTGAATGGTGAAAATTCCACGAGAGTCCCTTCACCACAGGTGCAGAGGTATGATCAGCCTCTGATACATAAAAGAACTGAGATGCCAACAATATTATTGCGTATATAACCAAAAGCAAAGAATTAGAAGAATAAGAAGAAGCCATGTTTGCTAGCAAGCTTTTTCAGTTTTTTTTTTTTTTTTTTGTTATCCAAGATAGCACAGGAAGAGGCTTATATATATATAATATTATAGGATGATGAGCATTGACCTAAAAAAATAAATATTTATATATGCTTGGAGCCTTTGAGTACGCTTTAGGAAGCCACATGGAAACTAGGTCATAGCCCCATAGTACGTCCTGTTGAAAACTCCTACTTAATTTGGTTTTAGGTAAAGTCTTGTGTCCAAAAGTCTTGTTAAAGAAGCTTTATAAGAAAAACATGATAGTAGATATCATCATCTACATCCAGAAAGTCGTATGCTTTGGAAGAAACTTGTACAGTGTGGGAAGGTGTTTTGGTCAAATAGTACAGCAACTTCTTCAAAGAAAGGACACCAACACGTTTAACTTGGGTTATTATTGTTATTTATTTTTGCGTAAGTCACTTTTACAACATAGTACACATCACATGACAAATACCTAATTCTTTTGACAATTGGCTTTTAATAATAACTTTGTCTATGACTTTTGGCAAAAGTGCAAACAACTCCGTAAACTATCACAAATCGACAATTTAATTCTTTAAATTACAAAAATAAACAAGTAAGTATCACAATTATTTAAATCGTGCAAATTAATCCTTGAAATGCAATTTCGGTCACATTCTGGCCCACAAGGTGAGCACGTGATTGCCCTTTTCTTTTAATTTTGAAATTGCCCTGAAATATTACCGTTGTAGCCCTTTACCTATATGTAAATATATATATATATATATATATATATATATATGTGTGTGTGTGTGTGTGTGTGTGGCTACTGTTGCTGCTCAGGCAACTTCGCCACTTTAGCGCTTGTGCCCGTTTTAGCGCCGCCATTAAAGCATTGGATGGGGTTCCACGGCGGAGGTGGTGGTTTGGGCGAAGAATTGGGATGGGATCGAATAGAAGCTTGGCAGAGGAAGCCAGACGGCGACGCTAGAAGAGTCTCCGTCACATGAAGTGGCGTAGTTTGGCCGTGATTACGACGGTCGGCTTCGTCGATTGAGTGGTTTAGTACACTCGCCATTAGGGTTTACTGGATCGTACTTAATCCCGCTCTCATCTTACTTTAGGGAAACAAACAATCTGAAAAAGCCTTTTTTTCAACTCACAATTGAAACTCTTTTGAATATCTGATAAACTCCAGAATTAGAATTGAATTCTAGGAGTCTGAGAGGAAGAAAAGACACAAGGCGGAGAGGACCATGGATCACAAACCAGAGAATGGATCTTCTTCTTTGTCGGTGATTGAGCACAAGGCTTATGCTAGGGTTGGACTTCTTGGAAACCCTAGCGACGTCTATTACGGTCACACCATTTCCTTCACACTCGGTAACTTCTCAGCCTCCGTATGATTGCAGCCCTCTCACGAACTCGTCATCGTCCCTCACCCCACTCACGATCTCGTTCACTTCAACTCTCTCGATCACCTGGTCTAAATTATCTCCCTATATCTATATATATATATATATGTCAATATATATAAATTTTTCTCGCTGTACCAGCCGGCCAAACCAGGAATCCTTGCTTGAAATTGCACATCGTCGACTCAGTCCTTGCCGCCGATTCAGTCTCGTCGTTGCCATCATCGTTCTTTGCCGGATTCTCAGCAATCAACAAGCTCTATTTTGCAGCCTCCGATACGATGGAAACCATCCTCTGATGTCGACCAGATTTGTCGACAAATAGAGAGGGTTACAACACTTAGGCAACGTTTGGGGGCATAGAGGGTATTTCACGTTGATTATTTATTTTAGTATTTTTTTTTTTTAATTACAATGGGTAGTTTTGTAAATATACTATGAAGTCGGCCGGAAAGTGATCGGAATTACGTTTCAGGGGTTAATTTGCATGATTTGGATAGTTGTGGTACTAACTTGTTCATTTTTGTAGTCCAAGGGGGTAAAATGCCGATTTGTTATAGTTTAGGGGGGGTTTGTTTGCACTTTTGCCATGACTTTTTATCAAAGATTGAAGTTTCTTAAATAATTTGGTGGTTAATCCATTGAAGAACATATTATTCTTTTTTCTTTTCTTTTTTCACAATAACACAGTACTTCCCACTGTTTCATAAAAAGTGTTATGTTTGGAGAACCGTGATTTGTGAGTTACGGTTTTTCAAGCATAACACTTTTTATAGGACAGAGGGAGTATTCAATTGGTGTATACAATAGTTTATTATAAATTTGTACTACTTGGTCGGTTGCATGGATCCAGCACCTACAACCACTTCTTTTGGGACCACTGTCCGAATGAAATGCCAGAAAACACGTGGTGCTCTGGATTAGCCCTTTCCAATGCATAGCAAAATACAGATCACTAGAGATAGTTCTAACCATTTTATCTAATGTTATGGTTGGGAGTACGGAATCGTTGCTTTGGATTTAGAATTAGAAAAAATTAGTTCAAAATTTAGCAGTTTTTTTTTTTTTTTTTTTTTTTTTTTTTTTTTTTTTTTTTTTTTTTTTTTTTTTAAGTTGGTATTCAAACATACATGTCTCCATTGATGTTCGAATCGGTCTTGATCTCCTTTTTGCAAGTAGAGGTCTAATACTGGTAGGTCACTGCCTGTTGGTTAGCTTCTTTTCATGTAGTTAGAATTTTTTATTTTATTTTTATCACCTCGGAGTGTTCCGTGCTTTGCCTTGACTAATTCATAGACCCGTGTAAAATGATCCCCTTATAGATGGGATAAGGCTCGGACTATGTCCGCTTGCTCGTACCTAAGAAAAATTGAACTTAAAACCTGAAATTTTATAAGACTCTAGAGCCAAAACTTTTTTCACTAGGCCAGCCCGTCGGGGGATGCAGTTACAAGCAAAAGATTGTGTACTAGGTACAAACGTTTCAAAAAGGAAAAACTGCAAACAATTGATCAAGAAATCCTGACCAAAGTAGTCATGGAAGTGGAGGCACAGTAAACCAGCAGCTAATCCAACATCCTCCTTTGAGTACGTTTTAGGAAGCCACATGGAGACTAGGTCATAGCCCCATTGTACGTCCGTTTCTGTTGAAAACTTCAACTTAATTTGGTTTTCGGTAAAGTCTTGTGTCCAAAAGTCTTGTTAAAGAAGCTTTATATAATGGGTTAGGAAGGAAAAGAAAAATATGATAACAACGGTGTGGCTTTATTTATTTTTTATTTTTTTAACTTGGGTATTAAGTAAAGTGCTTGTTCATAATGACACATTAATTAGCACATTTAACATCTGACTTTTCTCGCAAACCAGCGAATGTTGACATCATGTTTTTGTGATTGAAAACTTCAACTTAATTTGGTTTTAGGTAAAGTCTTGTTAAAGAAGCTTTATATAATGACACCAACACATTTAACTTGGTTTTTAAAATAGATTTTTTTTCTTTTTTTTTTTTTTTTTTTTTTTTTCTAATTTCTTTGCGTCAAGGTTCAGATCAAGGTAGCAAATTTTCTAATGAGTTCTCTTTTTAAGTGTATATTAGCTTCAATACACATTAAGTCTTGCTCATAATGACGCTTTATTTTATGTGTTAGTAAGGAAAAGAAAAGATACTAACACTTGAAATTAACACATTCAACTAGGGGGCATAAGTCTGCTTATGGAATCTGACTTTTTTCTGTTTTTTTTTTTTTCTTCTAGTTTCTTTGCGTCAAGGTTCAGATCAAGGTAGCAAATTTTCTAATGAGTTCTCTTTTTAAGTGTATATTAGCTTCAATACACATTAAGTCTTGGTCATGTCTTGCTCATAATGACGCTTTATTTTATGTGTTAGGAAGGAAAAGAAAAGATACTAACACATTAAATTAACACATTTAACTAGGGGGCATAAGTCTGCTAATGGAATCTGACTTTTCTTGCGAACGTGGACATCAATTTTTGTGATTGAATAGAACTTGCCAATTAATATTAAAATGACATGGGAGTGCAATCATCTAGGAACCAATTTTAATTAATGCCTCGTCATGATCTATTTATGAGGTATACAAATAATACTTATTGATGTATCATTCATATAACTGGCCTGCTTGTTACGTGTGGGAGAGAGTGATAGGGATTTAAAAAGAATATCAAAAAGGAAAAAAATTAAAATTAAAAACTCATTTCTTTCGAAATAATTTATTTTTTCAATTTCAAAACTCTTTTCTTTCATTTTTATTAATAAACTTTAAAAGTCACTTCTCTAGAATTGTTAATTTTTGAACTCCAAAAAAATCATTTTTAGAGACCAACCATTTTCCTTCGAGAAAAAACTTCTTTACATTTCAAACTCAAGACATCAAATCATTCGATTTTTACAAAGGCTCAATAGCTACATATTTTGGTTCTTGGGGTAAAAAACAACCTCCTGAAGTAGAGGTTTCTTTCTTCTCGGGGTAGAGGTCTCTGCTGCTTAGAGTACTCTATTTTTTGGAGTTCTTTTCCGTTGCTTATTGATCATGTGTTTAATTGCTACCGGACTTTTAATCATGTCTTGTGTGTGTGTGTTCGGGATCTGGATCCTTTCTCTCAATCATGTCTTCTTTCGATGGATTTTCCAGATTCCGATTAGCTCTTGGCAAACTTCTTATCTTTTGGAAGATTTAGTGGTGCACTATTCCTTTCATTCTTATTTCTGCGTATGCCCTGTTATGTCTCTTAGCGTCTCTATTAACGTTTGGATGTTGGTGGTCTTTTGATTTCGTGGGTTAATTATTTGGTTGTCCATAAGCTTTGGATCTTTTTTAGCCTGGGATTTGATCGATTTTGGGTGTTTCTGCGCTTTGGTATGTTCTTCAACCTCTGTGTTCTCCTTGGGTGTCGGATCTGGTTCAGGGATCACTTTTGGCAGTGGCTAAACCAATGGATCTGGTGTTGTTTTTGGCGACTGTTGTTGCCTCTTTTGATCGTTTGCTTTTGTCTCATATTGGTCGCCGGTGATTATAGTTGTTTGGTAGTGGTTTTGGGACTATCGATACGTCAGCTTAATGGGTTGGTACTTATTTTATTCGGTTAGATTGGGGGTGATGTCATGGGTGAAGTGTTGGAAGCTTTCGTTGGAAGATTTATTCTGGTTGGTTGTGGGCCAAGGCACGTAAAGATTACAGATCTCTGTTTGGCGGTGATAGTCTCTTTACTTTTAGTACGTTTTTCCATCCTGGACTATTTAATATCATGAGTGTGTGGCTAGGGTAACTAAGCGTCTCCTTTACGC